CTTAGGGTGGACAGCGTGTCTCCATTTCTGCTTTCCAAGCGCCTCTGACACCTCCGTTTCCCTTCCCGAAACGCCACGGAAATAGCTTGCTTCACTTCACACGTCGGTGTTTATCAGCACCAAGGCAGAGGACGCTCATCTGAACTGGCAGAGATTAAATAATTGAGACAGACGTAAGAGCTGTTTATGCTAGTGTTCTTACACACCACCTAGGGACAATCTAATTCAGTTTCATGCTTCCCTGGCCCATTTTGGGGCTCACAGACACATGCCAGGACACTGTTCACAAGCCTACTTTTTAAAAGCCGATTCTTTGGCAAGCAAATGAAATATCTTTGAAAGGTAGCAGTCAGCGTATCCATAGTAGTAACATTCCAACTCGGGTTCTGTGCTTGACATAGGAGACGTGAATGCTGGACACGAACATAGTCCTTTGCAGGAGCAGCCTGTGCTCTTAGATGCTGAGCCATCTCTCCAGCCCCTGCCTCAGGGCTGTTCTTTCGCTTGCTAAATTTTTAGTCCTACATTGCCAAACTTTTTTGAAACTGTTGAGCTAATAAGCAAAAATATATTCATTTTAAAAAATTTTTTCTTTTCTTTTTTTTTTTTGGTATTAACTCCGTGGGGCATATTTTCACGCCTTCCTACCTTATCCCAGGGGTAGTCTGAAACCCTTAGCCTCCTTTGTCCCATGTATTTCCTCTCTTTCTATCAGGACTGTACTTAAACCAGCACTAGGGAGTGAATTGAGTAACTAGTCCTTTGACTTTTGTTTGCTTTTTAAAACTTTGTTTGTTGTCTTCTTAGACCAGCTAGCCTAGAACTTGAAATCCTTCTGCCTCAGCCTCCCAAGCTGGAATTGCTGGCATGCACCAGGGTCCCCAAGTTGGAATCACTGGCCCTACCAGGGTCCCCAAGCTGGAACCGCTGGCCCTCACCAGGGTGCCCAGCTGTCATCAGCCATTTCAAAGGTAAACAAGTTAGAAACGAATAAAGAAAAGAGGCAGTCAGCAGTAGTGAGTCTTCTGATGTTTACCCTCTCTGCCTCCCCACCACTCTGTCCCTCCCCCACCCGATGCACCACACTTGGATGGGTGTTATCATCCGATAAAGTTGCAGTCACCATATTTGGCACAATTCTACATCTGCTTATGTTATTAATTTGCGGGGTACCAGTTACGAAAGCAAATCCAGGGGCTTTGTGTGCGCTAGGTAGGCACGCTGCCACTCAGAGACACCATTAGGCCTCTAAATGTTGAAGGAGCGGCAGGGCTGCGTCCCCGGCACCCGGCCGCCCGCATGGCTAGCTTATGCCCAGAAATAATTACACGGAAACTGTATTCTTTTAAACACTGCCTGACCCATTAGTTCCAGCCTCTTATTGGTTAGCTCTTACATATTGTTCTAACCCATTTCTAATATTCTGTGTAGCCCACGAGGTGGCTTACCAGGGAGGATCTTAACCTGCAACTGTCTGGAGTGGGAGAATCATGGCAACTCTCTGATTCAGCTTCTTTCTCCCAGCATTCTCTTCTGTTTACTCCACCCACCTATGTTCTAACCAATAAAAAATGGGCCAAGGCAGTTTCTTTATTAATAAGAAATCACTCCCACATCATCTAAAGAAGGCTGCTTTTGGAACATGTGCCAGGCAATTACTTTTGTAAAGAGTTCCTTGAGCACTTCTCTCTTACCAAATCTTACTTTTTGCTGTGCCCACTCAGCGCTTGGTCAGAGATCAAGGCAGGAAAAGAACTGCCTACACCTTTCATACATAGTTTATACATGATTTTATACATATTATCAGAAATAGTCCAAATAACTCGGAAATAGTGAAGGGAGGAAAAGGACTGGGTTTAAAATAAATATGTGCAGTCTGGGGCTTCCAAGCTCTGCCGTTTCCTACACACAAGCCTATGCAATCTGTTTCCTCTTGCCAGCCAGGGGTAGCACTTTGTGTTAGCTCCTGATACACTCCCGGGTGCCAGTGAGCCAGTGCCTGGTACACGCTTAATCACTTTCTGTTGAATGACTGATAGCTCAGACAAGCGCCACCCCCCCCCCCCAGATGCCATCAATACCCTGACTTTCGCCCACTTCCCTCGGCCAGGTTCCACACTTGAATTTACCCTACATGCATGTCTGTCGGCCTCTGATGTAGGGAAAACCACAGACATCTGCCAGCTGGACCCTACACGAAACCACACGGCCAAACCTTACATAGGCCCCGGGGGGCTGGACCAGCCGTCTTTGTCTCCCATTGCCTCCACAGGAAGCTGCGCCCGGTGGTGTTCAAACTCAGCTGCGGCCAAAGTTGTGACACCAACAGTTGTAGTCGGCAACTTAGGTTGCATGTTCTTCCGCTTCCTATCCTGGCCCAATCCGTCTTCTCGGTTCCTCCATTGCTTCAGGTTTAGACCATCTTGCTGCACGTGAAGACTTCTCCCAAACTGCCTTTCACTTCTTAAAATATAGGACTGATTGATTTCCTTCTGGTTTTTTTTTGTTTGTTTGCTTGTTGTTTGTTTGTTTGGACAGGGAAGTTTTTATTTTTGCCAGTCCTGAGTTCTTCTGCTTTGTATTGTTTTATTTGGGGCAAGCCTTGTGATGTAGGCAAGGCTGGCTCGACCTGAGATGCTCCTGCCTCAGCTTCCAGAGTGCTGAGATTAGAAGGTTAGACCACCACATTACTTCAGCCCCCTTCTATCCACAAAGCTAACTTCCTCTGCTCAGTTCATCAGAACCCCTCTATTTCATGAATGAAATACTCCCCAACTCTAGAATGAAAAACAAAGACAAGACGGTTGAACTCAATTGTTCCAATTTTGTCTTTTGCCCAAGTACTGTCGTACCAGTTGGGACTACAGAGGAAAATAAGATGAACCATATTCCTGTGTCCTAGGGTGTTTGTAGCAAGGTGACAGCGGGTGAACAATTGCACAGGCTACACACAAACAATGATTCGTAAGAGATAGTATTAGCTAAGTCAATGAGAAATGTGGCCAGAAGTGTATTTACACTTGTGGTGAGTATTGGAGTAGAGGGAAAGCGGTCACCTTGCTTCCCTCCTTTCTGTGTTTATACAGTAAAGTCTTAGGATGATGCCAATGTTGTTCCTGCATATAATCACTGTCTAAATTTCTGACTAATGTTCTTCACCAGGGTCTCAAAAGTACACTTATTTGGTTTTTGCATCTTAAAGCCATTTTAAAAGACTTTTACTTGGGTACTCCAAAAACATTTGTCAAAAAAAAAAAAAAAAGGGCTGTATTTGCATAATACTCTCCTCTCAGCACACGGTGTTTTAAGAGATCAGCAGCAGTGTGCTGGGTTCAAATCCCACCTCCCATGCTACCTCAGGAGATTACGGGGAGCTCTCCCGTGACGGCAATGACGTCTGGCACACAGGGTTTGTGAGGACTGAACAAAATGATCATGGAAAATGGTCTGGGATTGTCCCTAGCCACAACGTGCACTCAATAAATGTCAGCATCTGCCACCGGCAAGCAGTAATGTCACTCCCTCTGCCTTGGATCAGTCTCACCTAGAATCATTTTGGGGTGGAAAAAAAGTCCCCTAAACACGAGTGGGAAAAGTACCAAGCTTCCCTGAAGAGCAGCTCTGCTCAGCGACTGGAGACGCCCGACTATTTTATTTACGCGACAGACCTAGGCATTAACGATCTGGCAACTTGTTGGTTTCTACTGGAGAACACGGGGTCTTTCTGAAAGGCATTGTCTCCATTCTGTGTGTTGTCTTAACGATGCATATTTTTCTTTATTATTCCCAAGGCAACAGTCGTTGGTTTTGTTGTTGTTATTGTTGTTTTGAGGGAAACAGCTCCGGATCCAATTTTAGAAAACACGCTTTTTCAGAAAGGCATGGGATTCGTGTAAACGGTCTCACAGTTCAACCCCAGAGACATCTGTCTGCTGCATCTTCCCAAAGAGACCCAAGTTATGAGGCTTTAAAAAGATAAAAATAAAAAATTCCTTAGGCAATTTGGTCAAGAAAAAGCATTCCTATTAATCTGAAAGTCTTCGTGGAATTTTGTGTACAACTCAGTGGCTGTTTTATTTGACGTATTCCCAATTTTTGGTTCAGACGACAATTTGTAGAATCCATTTTTGAGGATTTGTAGAAACCATTTGTCAGATGGCTGCCCTAAAACAATCGCAGGAAATTAGTTTAGCCCCGTTTAGATACAAAATAGATCATCTTCTATTGCATTACAAGAATGTGTTTGCTTAATCTCTTTATAGAGCTGTGTATTTTTTGGATGTGGGGATATTGCTATCCAGTTTCTAGAGAGAAACCAGTCAACGCCATTCCACACTTCTTACAAAAAGGATGTTACAAGCAGGGGAAATACGCAGAATGTGTTCGATGATATTTGGAGTTCTTTGACATAAGGTAAATTCGTATAGTTACTCAGGAGAGAAACACTGGGGCATTTCACACGGTAAAAACAACAGAGGAAATGAAATTACGGGATGCCGGAAAGGTCTCCTCCTGCAACTTCCGCTCTGGAAATCAACTAGATACAAAGCCTTGTTCCACCACAAACGGAAGCAAGCGTTTAGCACAGAAAGCTAATCTGACTCTTTCCTCTGAAGCACAAATTGGCCCAGTGTTTTCCTGTCCTGATCTCCTTCTCCTTTCTTTGAAACCAATGTCATCATTCCCTGTAAATCCCCAAGCAGGGGGTCACTTAGTAAACAGAGGTGTCTAACAATAAACCACAGGTTCAGACTGTCAGCCCGGCAAAGGGGGTCACCGACACAGTGAGGTCGTTCAGAGAGTCCCTATAATCAGTACCTAAAGAGAGGCGCATTGTCCACCCTGCAGTAAGGAACACAGCCTGGTCCAGACTTCGCCCTGGACTACACAAACATAACTCTCATTTTCTTTTTAATTATTTTTTATTTTTATTCCCTTTCCTCCCTCCAAACCTTCCCACGTCCCATCCCACCTCACTCACTCTCAGATTCATGGCCTCTTTTTCTTTAGTTGCTACTCTTACATTATATATATATGCATAAATATATAAACACAGCCCACTGCATCCATTTACTGTCGCTTGGACGCATATGACTTCAGGGATGGCCAGTTGGCACTGGGTAGCGAATTAAAGGGGCTCATCCCTGGGGAAGATCAACTCTCTCAGTCCCAGCTCTCCTTAGCTGCCTGTAGTTCTTTGTCTAGGGGTAAAGCCCCATAAAATTGTTCCCCTCCATGAAAATTTTAATTTTGAATTATGTGTCTAGAGATGTATGTTTGTGTGTGGATACGCGCGTGCACATGGGTGAAGGTGCCCCCAGAGGCCAGAAGATGGCCTTGATTCCCCCAAGGATGGAGTTACAGGCAGTTATGAGCCAAACTTTCCTAGTCCAGTGTAAGTACTGGGACCCGAACTCAGGTCCTCGAGAGCAGTCCTAACCACTGAGCCACCTCCCCAGTCCCACTAAGCTTCACCTTCACGTATATTTTCAGTAGTGATACAAGAAAAGTCACACGGACAAATGGTAAAATACAACTTTAGGCTTGGGTTCCCTTGCAAGTCCAAATGTTTTCCAGCTTATGTCCGTTGTCTACAGACTTCAGGCGTGAAAAGGAAGACTTCACCGCATGGATTCAAATCTTAGCACTGCTGCTTGCACTAGCTAAGATTCCCTGTGCCTCAGTTTCTTCTTGTAAAAAGATGAGAATCGAATCAGTTATTTTTGTAAGACTGTGACCAAAATATCTGACAGGAAGGACTGAAGGGAAGAAGTACCTGCTTTGGCTGGTTGCGGAGCATACAGTCCATGGTCCGTGACTCTGTGTTTCTGACAGGACCATGTGATTGACAGACGTGAAGTAAGAAAAAGACACAAAGAGCCAGAAAAGACATAACCCCATAATTCCACCCCATCCCAAGCCCCACCTCCAGTGACCTCTGCTCCGTCAGTCTCTCACCTTTTGCCACCTCCCAATAAGGCTATCCTATGAGCCACTCAGCAAGGGATCAATCTATTGATTAAGCCAGAACTCCCAGACACAGTTGTCTCTGAGGCATCGTCACAGATGCTTGTCCCTAGTTCACAGCCGCAGGGACCTTACAGATCCTAGCTGCTATGGTTTTCTTCGTATTGGCCTTGTTACCCTCCCCCCCTTTCAAGGGGCCCACCCTGCTGAGCGCTCACAGCGTGGTGGCTGACAATGAGCTCCTCTGTCCAGGTTTCTGTGGACCTCAGAAGGAAGAAGCGCACGTCCTTCTCTCCTGGGCTCTCAGTGGCTTCTTACTGTTGAAATGATTGCCTCTAGAGGAGGTGGATTCTGACAGCTCCTGCCCTAGGGGCAGTCAGACACATGACCGGCTCCGATGACCAAGCAGGCCTTCTTCTCTCTGCACAACCAGTGAGACTCATTTGGGGTAGAAATGAGTGAAGTCCCACGGGGGCCTCCCACCCCAAACCTCCAAAATACTTGTCATTGCAAGCTCCAAACTCACACCCCTGCCAGGGTGTTATCCAAACACATCTATGCAGCCTGGGGTGTTATCAAGCCTTAGCCTGTTGCCCTGCTGGGAATCCCTTCTGTTCACCTTGGTTCTCCATCTTGAACTGGGGTCTGGGCATTTCCATCCCCGTGGGTCCTAGACTGCCATCTACTCCCTTGGATCTGAGTTGGACCCTTGGCATCTGGCCCCTACATTGCTGGTGAAGGAATCTTCCCATCATGCAAATCCAAGGTTATTTCTCTGCTAAAACTCTGGAAAGTCTAAGGATGCCATCCCCAACTCGGGGGACGGCCTATCTCCACCAGATCACAACTGGCAGCATTTCCTGTTCCCATCTCCCCCTTTTCGCCTATTGTGTTGATTCCCGTTTCCAGGACTGGCTCAGAATCCATCCCTCGTCAGTCGTGGAAAGCCTCCCTGCAGATCCGGGAGGCTGCAGAAGCAAGCCCTTGCGGCCTCCTAGGCTCCCGCAGAGCGCTAGGCTTCCTCTCTCTGGGCCTTTTTCCCCAGCTGCCAGAACTGAGTTCTAAACGGTATATAGTCACACCGGTTTTTATGTTTAAGGCAGGACACTTTTGCAAAACAGATCGAGTCAGACTCAGTGTCCACGGCGGAGACAAGTGAGTGGCGCTTGCTTCTTCCGAGGGGGCGTTGGGCAGCGTGCTGTGCAGGGCATCTAGACTAAGGGGGTTGTGGGGCGGGACAGACCTGCTGCAGAACAAGTGCGGCGACTGGACTCGCGGACCGCGGGACGATTTCGCTTTCGCTCTGAGTGCGGTGGGGTGGGCGGCGGTCCCGGAACCTAGCAGACGGGCACTCCGAGAGTTAATTCGAAAGCGCCACCCGCCCCCTGGGGACGATCTACGCACGTGTCCTGGAGAAGCTCAAGTAGAGACAGAGAGAGAAAGCAAGAGACACCATCCTGGGAAAGTCCTGCTGGGTCTCCAGACAATTATAAAAATGTGTCCCCTGGGGTTAGTGTTCCAACAGCCTCACCTCCAGCATCCAGCTGCCTCGCTCACTGCCAGCCCAGCATGTGTCCATCGCGCTGTAAGTAGCCCAGGGCCGGGGACCTGGGTGATAGGATCTGGGAAGGTGACCTGGGAAGGAGCAGGCAGGAGCCCTGGATCCGCTAAGGGAGACTAAAGAGCAGTCAGCAATTGCAGGCCAGGAAAAGGAAGACAGGAAGGAGGGTTTTACTAGATCTCTGCTGCACCTTGGCATGGTCTCTTCATTACAAAACAGGCCGGGCCGTTATGCCCATTTCACGGAAGAAAACCAAGGCACAACCTTGGAGCTAGAGTAAGGAAAATGCAGATCTCGTCCAGTTCCCAAACAAGATTTGGGGAGTCTTGCTCGCTCTGACAGCCCTGAGGAAGGGGTTAAAACATAAGTGGAAGGAGGCCAATACCCAAAAGAAATGATTGGAAGAGATGGCCAGAATGGCAGAAGACAGAGGCAGACCAAACCAGGTTGACAAACTCCATCTACTCTCCCACCCCAATTTCCCTTTCAGGCCTCCTGTTTTTGGCTACCCTTCTCCTCCTAATCCACCTCAGCTTGGCCAGGGCCACACCAGTCTCCCAACCTGCCAAGGGTCTTGTCCACTCCCAAAACCTGCTGAATATCACCAACACAATGCTGGAGAAGGTGAGTTTTTTGGGTCCTCCTAGCTTTGAGGCTCCCCTGTGGAAAAGATTTCCATCTGGTATCTGCGGGGGACCCCCGCAGTTCATGGGTAGCTGGCAGGAGCGATTGAGGAGACTTCAAACCTCCCAGATAGTATCTAGCTTAAACTGTGTCTCCAGAGGAAGAAAGGATGCTAATAAATTATAACAGCATCAGTTCGGACTGTGTCTTTCCAGAGGAAAGTAGCTGCTCACCATGCCCCTCCCAGCCTGCCTGCCTGTATGGCTTTGGGTCGGGCGCTCCCTGCTTCTGCTTCACTGCGGGTTGAACAGGGAGACAGTCGCTAGGTGCAATCTCTGCTTTAAAGATGAATTAGATCTCCTAATTAGATCCCCTGCTGCTCATCCAACACAGGGCTGGCAGCTCCTTGTTGGATGCACACGTCACAGGGAGGATTGTGGCATCCCGTGTTGTGTCTGACCTTCGTTTTTCTGGGGCAAGTGTGATCCGGTTTTATTTCTAGCTCTGTTTGTTTTTTCTCAGGTTTCATATTTGAACGCACCCGTATACTTTTCTGTTGTAAAATCGCTGCTGCTTTCTCTCAGTGTTGCTTACTAAGCTACAGCAAACGATAGTGCGTTTGGGACATTCTGGAGCTACTAAGGCTGTGGCTTGGTGGTAGAGTTACTCAATTACGGATGAGGACCCGTGTTCCAACCCCAGCAGGGCGTTCACTCATAAGCACATAGAAATGGAGGAGGGAGGGCGGAGAAAGGGGAGGAAGGAGGAAGGGAGGGGGGGAGACCCCTTCCTTCTTTCTGCTGTGTTTTAAAATCTTGAGGAACTTCTAGCTTGTTACCTTATGACAATGCCAAGATGAGCTCCATTCTACAAAGCCTCTTTGAAGAGTTCTTTCCTTCTGTCTGGTCTTCCATGTGCTGCGATTGCCCCTCACTGCTCAAACAATCGTAATTACATGCGGGATTCCAGGCAGGAGAGATGGCTCAGTGGTTACGAGTGCTGGCTGCTCTTCCAGATGGACCCGAGTTCAATTCCTGCCATTCCCATGGTGGCTCACAACCATCTGTAACTCTAGTCCTAGGGAATCTGTCATTTCCTGGTCTTCTGTGGGCACTGGGCACTCATGGTACACAGATACACACACAGGCAGAACACTTGTTCACATGAAATTTTAAGATGAAGGAAAAATCTTAAGGGGGAGGGGGGGCTCCCTCAGGAAGGCCTGCCGAGATGAGTGGCTGTTTTCCTCAGGTGAGATTTGGCGTGGAGGCGTTGGAGAAGTTCAAAGTCGACTAGACACTCCCTGGACAAGCCCACTGTGCTAGTCCCAGACAACTGTGCTGCCCATCAAGACATTGCAGAATTCAGTCTTGTCTCAGTTTGGGTTACTATTGCTACCAAGTCGAACTTGGACTCCAGTCGGGCCGATCACTATCCCTTCTTTCTCACTTCCCTTGTTCCATAGTTGAGTGGGAAGATTATCAGAAAGCTGTTGACATCTTAATCTATTGTGTAATTCTGTTCCTCGACGTTTCCCAACCTACCAGGGGGTAAGACAAGGTCCCTGCGTACTGTAAATTAAAACTCAACCAGTCTTTAGGGCTTGCAAGTTTGTTACAGCCGTCAAGTCCTGACTTTAACAGTTCCTCTTTAGAAGTTAGCCTTGAAAAGAATAAGCACACAGCGTGAGTGCGTGGCAAAAGGAAAAACAACAGGATTCGCAGGAAGCAAGCCTCACAGCGTGGTGCTGAGGCTGATTAGCACAGCCCGCTGCAGGGTTCACTGGGTGGAAACAACGTCCTGCTGGCAGACAGCCTAGGCAAAGGGGGAGGGGAAGGAGAGGATGTAGGTGGCCTGTTTCTTTTAGTCTTATGAAATGTATCAATTTCCTACAGTTCAAAGAGATGACGATTCAGGGTGGCCAGCTCCGGTCCTGCTGGTACCCTGGGATGCTAACCTCAGAGGGAGTCAGCTCTCTTGCTCAGAGTATCTCCTCAGCTTCTCTTGATGGTTTTCACAGGCCAGAGAAACTTTGAAAGATTATCCCTGCTCTGCTGAGGACATTGATCATGAAGACATCACAGCGGACAAAACCAGCACACTGCAGGCCTGTTTACCACTGGAACTTGCCAAGGTATGGAGAGATCTTTCCCGCAGAAATCATGCAACACAATTAAGAACTGTGCATCACATGTAAGCGGTCTCCAAACATTAACACATAGCTACCAAAAGTGAGATTTTGGGGGGGAAAAAGTCACAATAATATGAAGGCTTCAACAAGCTGAAGTATATACTCAATAACTATGAGTTGGGTGTGGTGGCATATACCTTTAATTCCGGCATCTGATGGGTAGAGCAGGCTAATCTGTGTTAAGTTAGAGGCCAGTCTGGTGTATATGGTGAGTTCAGGCCAGCCAGGGCTACACAATAAGATTATGAAAGAAAAAAATGGGGCTGGTGATGTTGTTAGTAAAGTGCTCACTGCATAGGAGTGAGGACCTAAGTTCAGATCCCCAGCACCATGTAAAAGCTGGGTGTGATGGTTCCACATGGCTTCAGTGCCAAGGTAGGCAGAGAGAGACAGGAGGATACGCAGGGCTGATGGGCTAGCAAGTCTGGCTGAATTGTGAGTCTCAGGTTCAGTGAGACACCCTGTATCAGAAAAAATTAAGATGGAAAAATCACTGAGAAAGACACCAAAGGTAGTCCTCTAGCTTCTGCCTGCACACACACCTGCACATCTGAATATACACCTGCACACACATACTTGCACACACACATACCTGTCTGTGCACACTCGTGCACACATGAATTCCTACACATAGTCGCACAAAAGTCACTATGATGCTGAATTTTGTTATGCTTCTTGCTGAAATGAAAAGTTAGTTTGAGATAAACTATCAGAGAGTTTTATACTAAAAATTAATATCCTCGGTGTATATTTTTTCCTCTAGAACGAGAGTTGTCTGGCTTCTAGAGAGACTTCTTCCATAACAGTAAGTAAGCAAACCAAAGGTTCCTCCCCCACGACCGATTCATAATTCTGATGCCGGCTTATTCTTTCCTCTAGAGAGGGAGCTGCCTACCCCCACAAAACTCTTCTCTGATGATGATCAGATACAGCACTTTCCTCAAAGGCTGCAGCGGGATGTAGTTCTAACCCATTCCAATGGTTTCATTCTTATTTGGTCCCTTCACCTAGAACCTGTGCCTCAGTGGCATCTACGAGGACTTGAAGATGTACCTGGCAGAGTTCAAGGCCATCAAGGAAAAGCTTTTGGACCACAATCAGAAGCAGATCGTTCTGGATGAGAAAATGCTGACAGCCATTGAAGAGCTGATGAAGGTAAGGTGTCCTCTTATCAACGCTGGCTTTTTCTCATGCTGAAGAGAGGTCCTTGAGGAAATGCAATAAAAATCAGCTCCTCTTGGGGTCGGGAAAGACCTGGACATGTCCCCTCCTTCATGAAAAGCCTTGCAAGGTTACATCTGCTAAGACCCTCTACAGTCAGGGCAAATGCAAGCAGCCTTCTACTTGTTGACCTCATGCTATGCACCAGGCTCTTTGCAAATGGTTTTTCTCATGCCATCCCCACAACAAGCAAAAGTGGTCTGTACCAAGAAGGACAGTGACGCTTATCCAAGATCGCACAGTCTGCAAGAGGCAGAACTAGGGTGCCCTGAAAAACAGAGGGTTTTTTTTTTTAAATCCTTTTTTCTCTTAAGGGTCCAAGATTAGGCCTGCAGAGACAGTCTAGTGGTTGACAGCACCAGCTGTGTAACTATGAGGGCTTGAGTTTGGCTGGGAGAACATATGTAGTCTTGAACAGAATGTGGTCTTGAACCAACCTGTAACCTCAGAGAGTGGACACAGGAGAATTAATGAGGCTTTCCTGCTCCAAGCCTAGCCACGAAAACTACAGGTTCAGGGAGAGACCCTGCCTCAAAGGAATAAGATGGAGAGTAACACAGGACCCCCTTTCTCTGGCTTCTGTTTGTTGTAGGCACAGATTATATATCTGTTACGTGTGCATATGAGTGTGTGTGCATATAATGCACAAACATATACATGCACCCATGTTGTTTCTTTAAAAAAAATGCTGAGGGGGCTGGAGAGATGGCTCAGAGGTTAAGAGCATTGCCTGCTCTTCCAAAGGTCCTGAGTTCAATTCCCAGCAACCACATGATGGCTCACAACCATCTGTAATGGAGTCTGGTGCCCTCTTCTGGCCTGCAGGCATACAGACAGAATATTGTATACATAATAAATAAATATTTAAAAAAATGCTGAATGGATGATCAAAGGGTTGCACACATATCAAAACATTATTAGGGAAGACAAGAGGGTTATAATATTGAAACAAAATGTAAACAAAATGAAAAGTCATCTATTATCTAGGGAAATCCAGTGTTATTCATTTGTGGGAACTTGCTGCATAGCAAGTTTGTAGCACAAAGCATAGAAATATACACATAAGAGTGGTGAGTACCTTGGTAACTGGGGCATGAGACAAAAATATGTTCAGAAGTCACTGAAAAGCAACTGATTTCTTTTTCCTTTCATACATACTGTCTTTGTTATGGTTTCTGTGTCTTTGACAAAGCACCATGACCAAAAGCAAGTTGGGGAGGAAAGGGTCTATTTCTCCTTGTAACTTGTTGAGAGTCCATCATTCAGAGCAATCGAGGCAGGAACAGACGCTGAGGCTGTAGAGGAGCACTGGGTACTGGCTCGCTCACCTTCTTATAGCACCCAAGAACACCAGCCTAGGGTGAGCTGGCTGCTCCCACATCAATCATCAATCGAGAACGATGGCAGGTTTGCCCACAGGCCAGCCTGGGGGGAGGTGGTTTTCCCAGTTGATGTTCTCCTCCTCCAAAATGACTCTCGTTTGTGTCGAGTTAACATAAACTCGCCATCATATTATACGTAGCCAGATAACTTACTTGAAAGACAGCAACATGTATACAGGTGTCAAACAATCTACCATCCACAGAGTTGTAATTGCTTCTGCATACGCAAGACCAGCAGTCAAGTGATTTGAGTGGAAGACAGGGGGCTCCTAGGAACTAGACAGCTCTGCCGATGGAGCTGATGCCTGTTTTTCCTGTTTGAAAATGGGGTGACTTCACACACCCCACCTCTCTCTTGGGATTCTGAAGAGCAGACAAGAATATCAAGCTTCATAGACAAATAAGTTCTTGTTCTGTGTCATCAAATCCTAAGGGGAACTGGGAACGTATCAGGGGTAGAGTGTTCATCTAATAAGTCAAAAGGAACAAATGGGAAACATACTGCTGGTTTAGCTAACACAAATAACATTTCTACCTCCAGTAGGTCTGCGACTAATAGGCCCCTCTAATCAATAGAGCCCCTCAGCTCCCTCTTCTCAAAGGACTGGAATTCTTTTTTTTTTAATATTTATTTATTATGTATACAGTATTCTGTCTGCTTGTATGCCTGCAGGCCAGAAGATGGCACTATACATCATTACAGATGGTTGTGAGCCACCATGTGGTTGCTGGGAATTGAACTCTGGACCTTTGGAAGAGCAGGCAATGCTCTTAACCTCTGAGCCATCTCTCCAGCCCAGGACTGGAATTCTTAACACAACCTAAAAAACTTAACTAGCTATTGCTGCAGAGGCCACCTCACACATAGACTCTTACCTTCTCTGAGACAAGCCCTAAAAATGACGTTTCTGAGCCCTTTAGGGGTCTTTTGGAGCTCATTCAAGACCTCCGTGTGCTTGCAAGAGAGCATTTCTTCCCTCTGTCCCTGCAGGAGCATCACACCAGGGTAGATGTGGGGTGGGTCTAAGAGCGTACGTGGGACCAGGCTGCAGGCTCTGGACTGGGCATTGGCTTCATCTATTTTGGCAGACGACGGTTTCCATTTTTGAAACTGTAGATATGTGATGCTTGGTATTTCTTTGTAGTTTCTGAATGTCAGTGGTGAGCATCAGTCCCCGACATCTTCCCCGGGAGGAGCAGACCAGTACAGGGTGAAGATGAAGCTCTGCATTCTCCTCCACGCCTTCCGCATCCGCGCCATGACCATCAGCAGAGTGATGAGCTACCTGAATTCCTCCTGAAAAGCGCAAGCCCCTCCCACTCCGTGCCCTTCTTACAGACATATGAACCAATGAAATTTTAATAAGAGGCAGGTTAAGGACCAGGAAGTCTTGGCCTGGCTATGCACATTGTCCGTAAGTGCTCATGAAAATCTTCTTCAGGAGAGAAAATGTCCTCTCTGAATAGTCAGCAGTAGAGCAAGAACTGATAAGCTATTTTTTTTTAACCCAAGTGTTTATGAGAACACTCATCACCACTTATTTAAAAATATTTATTATTCTATTTTATGTTCATGGAAGTATATGAGCTTATTTATATTTATTTATGTCCTATTTATTATAATATTTCTTGTCAAATGAATTTGAAATGTTCAATTATTATGTGGTTCCAATAAAGTGATGCAAGCATTTCACACATGTCCTTGGAGTGTTTATTTAAACAGAATCTCACTGTGTAGACTAGGCTGGCCTCCAGCTCATGGAGGTCAGACAGCCTCTATCTTCTGAATGCTGGGGCCATGCCTGCGCACCACTACGCCTATCTAACTGGGGTAATTAAGTGGTCCAAGATACATTGCAGGAGAACAGTTTGTTCTCTATTGCTGTGAGAAGTAACACCATGACCAAGAGCATGAGGGGAGGGGTTATTCCATCTTACAGCTTACAGACCAGCACTGAGGGAACCTGGTAACCTTACAGCTTACAGTCCAGAACTGAGGGCAGGAACCTGGAGGCAGGGACTGGTCCCGAGAGGATGAAAGGGAGCTGCTTACCAGCTTGCTCTCCTCGGCTTGCTCAGCCTGCTTTCCTATATAACCCAGAACCACCAGCCCAGGTTTGGCACGGCCCACTGAGTGCCGTGCTCCCTCCATTAACCACTAATTAAGAAAACACTTTACAGACTTGCCGGCAGGCCAATTTGGTGGAGACATTTTCTCAGTTCAGGTTTCCTCTTTCCAGATGTCTCTAGTAGACAAAAAGACTAACCAGTGCAAAAATTCTGATGAAATTCGAGCAAAATGACCTTACAAAGATGGCCACATTTGGGCTGGGGAGTTGGCTCAGAGAGTAAAGTGTTCCTCTCCCATGTGTGACAACCAAGGTCCGATCCTCAGCACTCAGGTAAATGCAGTTCACCTGTAAACCCAGTGCTCAGAGACAGGAGTAGCAGAGCAAGCCGGATGCCTGACTAGCCAAACGATAAGCTCTAGGTACTGTGAGAGGCTATGGCTCAGTGTGTGCGGTGGAGAGTGGCCAAGGAAGATCCACCCTCTGGCCTCCTCACCCATGTGCCTGCACACACTTATGCATCCACACACATCTGAACACATGACACAAACACATACTACAGGCACATACATGGAAAAAATGGCCATAGTTTCACCTCTGGAAGGCAACCAAAGGCAAAAGCAATAGCTTGTAGTACTTTGGGAGTCTCATGAATACTAATTTTTTAAAATACCGATTATCCATGTTGGAGACAATGTGAATATAGACACACTCTTTTACTTTGCTAGTATGAGTGAATTGTACTTTGTCACTACCTTTCATGAATGAGATTTGACAATACTTACTCAGAATCTTGAAGTGTTTGTTTAGACCTGTGACCCTCCTCAATCCTCAGGAATCAATAGCTGTCTGAATAGATTACGTACGAACGTGTTTAATGCAGGATGTCTGGCAGCGAATTGCCTGAAAATGAACTTTCACAAAACCGGATGGGTTAAGCAGTAAACTCCAAGTTCTCTATTGCTGTGTGTGGCTCACGCTGTCTACTTGCCGGGCCGAGGCTCACCTAGGACGCAAGCCTGTTGTCATGCCTGTAAAGAATTGTCTAGATCACATTGTCTCCTGGGCCTGTGAGGGGATTGGCTGGATTAAGTTCTCCTTTGGTCACATCTCTGAAACATTATCTAGATTAAGCTAATTAAAGGAGGAAAATCCATCCTGAGTACCTGAGTCACTGCTCCAGGGGCTGGGGTCCTAGGACTCACCCCAGAGTGTTGCAGGAGGTCCTTCCGCCCCTCCAACCAATAGCTGCTGTGATACCAGCCCATTGGGGCGTGGTCTCTCTCCCTTTAAAAAAGCGGCTACTTCCTCTGCTCTCTCTCTTCACTTCCTGCTCCGCTGGCGACTTGACTCCCTTCCTGGTTGTGCAGATGGCTGTTGTCTGGGAAGATGATCTGTAAGTTTTTTCCCCTTTAAATAAATAACACCCTATTAATCATAACTCCAAACTGGTGTGGCATTGTTCATGACTTACGCCTTCACCAAAGGGGATGGTCAGCCATGTCTAAGCATTCATTCCTGTGTTCCTCCTGACCTGGGACACAGGGCAACCTACCGCTTCAAGCTTCCATTGTCCTGGCTTCCCATATTGACACGATGTACCCTCAAACTGTGAACCCAGATGAACCTCTCCTCAAGAGGTAGAGTAGTTTATTGTAGCCACCAGAAAAGCAACTCAGAAAGTATGTAACCAAATCTAAAAAAAAAAAAAAAAAAGAAAGAAAAAGAAAAAATGGCCATAGTATTCTGACTCATTTCCCAGTCCCTTTAATCTTGTTTTCCCAGGAAAATGGGGCAGACCTCAATACTCAAGTGCTTGTGTAAATTATGGTTTTTAAGAATCACTTTACTATTTTTGTTCAACATTTGAGTCTCAAAGTAAAACACACGAAAATGTTCTCCCTGACAACCGCAGGCCACGACCTGCTGTGAATTAAACAAATACATTATCGTACTCTTCAACTTGGAAAAAAAACGCACCTCGGGGCTCTCTGAATTATTCTAATTCTTGCTACCCTTTGGGCTCTCAGAGGGACGTCCTTTTTAAATTGCAAACAGAAAAGCTCTCTACTTGCCTAAATTATACAGCATGCTTTCCTGGGCCCCACATGTAATTGCCTTCCTTTGGCTTAAGACATGTCTTCCTTCTGGTCTCAGTATTAATTCCCTCTTTTAAGCCGTGTGAATTTGCAGAGTCCCACAGCAGAATCCCACATCATTTGGTCCTGGGCTAACCACGCTCCTTCTTAGCAGGAAAAGGCTCTCAGACCCTTCTTTAGAGAGGTGTCTTTTCTATTTCTTCCCACCAGGCCCCCCACTCATCTCCAGGGGTCCAGAGGGAAACAAGTGTGGCCTCTCCTCTGTGACAAACTCACTGTCCCAGGTCTCACTCTCTGCCCATCATCAGACAAAAATCAGTGGAGGCCAGATACACTGAGAGGCTGGGTAACTGCAGGCTCCTCCCAGGCAGGGACTCCTCCCAGGTGACTCCTCCCAGGTAGGGGCTTTTCCCAGGCAGGGACTCCTTCCTTTGAGTTGTGCTGGTCAGAGTCAGCACTTTAACCTGAGAAGACTCTCAAGGGTGTGTATGGAGCCTCCGACAACCACCCCTGGATAGAAGGAGCCTGAGGCTGGAAGTTCTCAAGGTGAGAAGGTGGCGAATGCATGTTAGTACCAGTGAACCCAAGCAGAGGTCTCCAAAATACCTTTCTCTCCCCATATTAAAGACACAGCAAGTCAAGGGAACACACGTGCACACACACAACCATGCAGTTACCACAGTGACCAAGGCCTCTGTCCTGCTTCGCTTCCCGGCATAGAAGGTGTCACATTACTTATATTTTTGTGCCTCTAGCACCTGGCACTCGAAGACAGGAGCCACATACGAATGCTCCAGGGCTTCTGCGTGCTTCTCGTTTCTTTTTCTAAACAAAGTGTAATCAACACCAGTCTTTGTTCTTCATAAATTATTTCCAATTACCAAAAGCAAAGGTTAACATTAAAAATGCATATGCTTGCTTCCTCTGAAATAACTATGCATGCTATAACACCCAAGGTGCAGAAGTAGGCCTCCTGATTAAGTCAAAATAATTTAAATATCTGGTTTGGGGTTAAGTGGTTACCAGATTTTAAAAATTCTTCTCTGCTAGCAGAGTCTACCACACGGGTGAATGTGGTTTCCTTTCTGTTAGGCTGTAGGAGGTTAAGAAACACATCCTGGGTTGGGCTGGAAGTTCAGCTGGTGGAGTATTTGTCTAGCATTCATGAGGCCATGAAATCCCCAGCCGTCTTAGAAGTTTCAGGGAATCGGCTCCATTGCTCATGAGCCCCTTTATGGAGAGGCAGAACCATGGCCCGGAGCAGAGGTGGGGCAAAGGGGGGGGGGGGGGGGGTCCTCACAGTGAGCCAGAAGCATAAGCCTCGGGGACAAGTGTCTGTGACCTCTGTCCTCCAACTGTGCTCCCAAAAATGTCACCAGCAGGCAACCAAGCCTGAGCACATGGCTTCCAATCTGAATCGCAACACCAAGTGGACATTGGATGCTCTGCTTTCCACACTGCTCCTGACAGAGGCAGCGCCGGGTCCCAAAGGACTCCTGGTACTCACCCCCCCCACCCCTACCTCAGTGACCACCTGCACGGCAACTCCCCATCTGAGTGTTTTTTTCAGTACATGTTCCAGGCAGGTTTTATTTTCAATCATGTTTTAAATGCAAGATGCACCCACAAAAGCTCGGATGTTTGAGCGCTTGGTCCCCAACTACTGGCACTGTCTTGAAAGAGTTGTGGACATTTTAAGAGATGAGGTCTGGTTGGTAGAAACAGGCCACTGGGTGCAGGCTTTTAGGATTGTAGTTCAGCCAGCTGCCAGCTTGAGCCCTCTATATCCCATCTGCAGCCACGGTGCAACCAGCCACATCACATCCCAGGGTCAACGCCATGGCTTCTGCAGCCTTCTCAGCCATGCTGGACTAGATCCCCTCCAACAATGAGCTGTATAAATCCCTCCCTCTAGAGTTGCTTTGTAGGGTGTCCGTCCTACTATCACAGGCCAGAAGAGGAACTAATACTCTCGCTCAAATAGGTTTCGAAACCAAGGCAAACTGAAAATCTCACTGAATTCGTTCAAGCATCCCATGTACTACTAATTGCTGTAAGTCTCAGAACCTTTAGCTTTACTGGTTTTTTTCTCTTTCCTTCCTTCCTTCCTTCCTTCCTTCCTTCCTTCCTTCCTTCCTTCCTTCCTTCCTTCCTTCTTTCTTTCTTTCTTTCTTTCTTTCTTTCTTTCTTTCTTTCTTTCTGCTTTCCAAGTTTGCCTGAGAAGAAAATGCGGCTATAAATGCAAGGAGCATCCTCTCACCTGGAAACCAAACTCATTGCTAATGTGTGTGGCCCTTCCAAGACAGGAGCCAGCAGAGAATGGGACGGAGGAAGGTGGCAGGCTCAAAGGACTCTAACACATCAACACAGGGCAAAATGGACATAACTCCATCCAGGGCACAGCCTCAGCCAGAATCTCAGATACCATCACCCAGAATTCACAGGACCTCCCCCACTAGGCACCAATGGAAAGCCATTGTCAGAACTCCCCAGACCAGGCAGCATGTCAGGG